AACACCCACAGCAGCTTGAGCCGCTGGAATACTTTACAAATCCCAATTAACAAATAGTGAAGCATATTATATTTATGACACCAGGAAAGACACTTGGCAACAAAATATTTATGTGCAATTAAAGTCTATAAAATGGTGTCTGCACTAACAAATAACATCACTTTAAACACTGACTCAGGAAGCGCTATAAACAACAAAATTACTCTAACCACGTCTGCCAATCTGGACCTCAGCACAATAGTGCAAACACAAAGCGTGGGCCGACGGGAGGCTGTTCTTGTGTCTCAGCACTGAAAAGAAGAAACTGGGGCGAAGGAGTGGCCCAGAGCCTCGGAGAGAAAAGACCGAGCAGCAAAATAATAGCAACACTGTGATAAAGGGTCTGATAATAGAGCAGATAATAAGCTGTGGACAATGAAGTAACTCGATAACATGGTGTTGGAGTACAAAACTGAGAGGCAGGGTGTGATTCTGGAGAGGGAGTTTGTGTTTATGGATGAAAAAGCAGCATGTCAATCACGTAAAACCTCAGTCAGCCCTGATACAGACACTGGGATCTCTGTTTCTGACCTTTTACTGAGCCACAAATGGGACAGCTTAAACGCTAAAGGGCTGCTCAGGCAATTTTAGCATTCCACTTGAATGAAGTTGTGAGATTCATTCAACTGTTTCAGGCTGAAGAGTAACAAACTTATGCATAAAATCAATTAAGCGCCTCTTTTTATTCAAAAAAATTATTTATTAAAAAAAAAATCTAAGAAGCATATAAATTGATAGAAATCCTTTAGGGAAACTTTTTAAACAATGATATTATTTTAGTGATTGTTCATCATTATCAAAGCAAAAAGCAACAGAAATGTGGGTAATGTTACAGCACTTCCAGAAATACATTCCTTCCTTCCAATCTGACTTTCAAATGTGAATTGCCGTTGCCGTAGAAAAAACAAGCTGAGAGCAAAGCCAGCAGTTCTGTGAGACAATACGGTGATAAAACATTCAACCTCCTCCTGTTTTATCCGATTTTTCTGTTTATTTTATGATAAACTATCTTCAAAGGCAACCTGGGTAAACACAAAATACTTGAGGCTATCTCATACTAATTTGGTCTGTGTGAAAAAAACATTTGTCTCCTTAGTTATTATTAACTTTAAAAATCTATCAAACAGCACTTATAAGTGGCTGCAGCTGTTCTGGCCTGATTACCAACAGGCCTGTTCAATCAAACTATTCCTGAGACCAATTACAGAAGCGTGACTTTAGCTGAAAGGTCTCACCAGTGTGGCAAAAATCAAAAGAGCAGACTGATTGAAACACATTAGCCTGGGAAGAATCAGAAGTCTAAGGCTCTGGGACTCCTCAGATTCAAAGTGAGAGACTCCATCTACAACTGGAGGACTTGAATGAACTGTGAATCTTCCCACAAGTGGCCAGATTTTCAAAATTCCTTCCACGAGCTCAGCAAGGACTCACGTGAGAAGTCAAAAAAGATCAGAAGAAAGCGTTATTTTACCGCTCCACTCAAAGATTCATTGCTTGTGGCTGTTATTTTACTCACCATTGCTTATTGTATGAAAAAGTTGGCAGACGGTTAATTTTTTATTTATAGAGGCACTTAATGGCAAGATACCACCAACATAACATCTGTGTTAAACTGGTCTTCAGCTGATTTGTTGAAGCGATTGGCGAATGCCAAGTAGTGCCAACATTAAAAATTAACAAACTGCACTTGTAGGTCAGTTTAAAACCATAATCACTAACTACTCTACCCTTTGGTTGCAAAAGTCTTTAACTGTTGTTTGTTTTCTAATTAATTACTGTCTTATTTGTGCCGTTTTGATTGTACTCTCAACATCAATGAGACATCTCAAGATTTAAATAAAGGCTGAATGAATTCAAAGAACTGCAGGCCTCTTTCACCTCAATGTAGGTCAGAGCGCCCAACTCCACGAGATGAAAGAAACGAGCAAAAAAACCTGGAAAAATGTTGAAGCTTGTCTGAGTTTTGCCGCAACAGAAGACCCTCAAACCTCTTCAGAGAATGTTCTACAGACTGCTAGGTGTTACATACAACATTAATTCTGCTCTCCGAGAAGAAAATCCTGAAGGAGAACGTCAGGTCATCTGAGTCTCTGACGTAACTGGGTTATGCGGCAAGACGATGATCCAAAACAGGAGGAGGTTCACTTCTGAAACCCTCAAAGTGTTTCGTCACAGTTAATTGTCAAACTTTTTCACATAAGTTGTTTAGGCATCAAATAACCTTTTTTTTTTCTTCAGAAAAACAACAATTATATTTCAAAACCTGCATTTTGTGTTTACTCAAGTTGCCTATGCTTCATGTTAAGTTTTATTTGACAGTTTAGAATAAAATGCACAGAAAAATAGATAAAAATCAGGAAATATACTTGTTCACAGCGCTGTACGTAGGCACTGCAGAGTGTTGAGCTCGATGCTGAAGTCAGCAGCTCAGCGTTAACCTGCTGACGTCTACAGGTGCTGTGTTTACCGTGTTCATCATTAGTTTAATAGGATCTAAAACTCAACCAACCAAGTGAGATGGAGCCGTCGTTAATTGAATTATTCACGCCTGTGCTTTGCATGTGTATGCAGCTTCCAACAAAACACTAAAAATACTACACAGTTGCTGGTGTGCGGATGTGCAGGTGAGGGCTGATTCATCATATCTGCCCACGAAAGCACAGATGCAGGTGAGGACAGCAGCTGTATGTGATGCAGGCTGAGTTCTTACCTGCATCTGAGGCGGGCCTGCGCCTCCTCAAAGTCGTTTCTGAGGAACAGATCCAGGGCAGCCATGCAGTCCTCCAGAGCCAGCGACAGGTCGGACCGCGAGCACCTGCAGAGCAAAAACAAACAAAATTTGAGTGAAAATGTCATTATCCAATACAAATACAGGGATTGGAGCTTGAGGATTAGATCTGTTCGTCGTGTAACAGTTCAGTTAAACTATCCATTGTACATACACATTTTACACCTGATATATAAACTTATTATAACAAACAGTTTCTATACCAGGAAGCTACGAGACAAAAAGGTATCAATCAAAGTCAAATTATACTTTTATAGCCTTTCGTAAATTTCTTAAAAGGTCCTGAGTGGTGTTTTTTCTTGGTTTTTGTTTTAATCTGACACTGAGCAAAAAAAAATCATGAATCAGAATCAATACCGTTGCTAATCATTGACATATCTCAGACTGTCATAATCAATTATTCCCCATAGAGTTTAGTACATTGAAAATATTTCAATTTTGGAAAAAAAAGTATTTTTTATGCTGACATCTCTGTCTTTGAAGTCTTGACTGTGCATTTTCTATATAATAATAATGCATCACAGTCAATGTTGTCACTGATCACTGACACATCCCACATTGTGATAATCCCAAACAAATCCAACCACTACTTACTATATGGAAAATAATTCTTTTTTTGTGTTTCTTATTTGTTTTTAAAAAAAATAAAAACACAATAATTGGTAGTTCTGATCAGGACTGATGTTTGCTACACATCAGAAAATAATATTAATGCGTAATATTTTTAGGGAAATGTTTTTTATGCAGATATTTTTGTCTTCCAGATCCTGAGTGTGACTTTTTTTTTCTTAAAATCTAATACCGCAAAAAAATAAAAAGGATCACATTCAATGCCGTTTCTAACTTTTTTTAACTAACTTTTTTTTGTTTTCTAAATTAGAAAATAACAAAGACATAATGTAAACAAACTGGCATTTAAAGGGTCAACATCCAAACATTTAGGCGTCATCATTGGGACTGATGTTGGTTCAAAACGTTAGGAGTCATAGCAGAAAATAAAATTGACATTCAACATTGTCATGGCAGTGGTTTTTCAACATGGCCATTTTTGTCTTTAAGGTCCTGACTTCAGGTTTTGTTTTGTTTTGAATCTAATGCTGCATATAAAATGATATCACATGGCAGACGCATGTTTTGTGTTTGTTCACATCAAACAACAGTGACATCACCTAAACAAACCTGCAGCTAAAGCACTGAAATTCTGAAATCAATAAATATGTGGTTGCGATGTTGGTTAAAAGATATAGAGACTATCTTAATGGCAGTTTTTTTTTTTTAGATATTTCTGTTTTTAGGAACCTCACTATCTTTTTTTTTAATTTATGGGTTAATGACTTTCTTTTAAGTGAGTTTTTGAAAGAGATCCTCATCACCTCACAATGCTCCAAGTCGTCCCAAGTCCTGATATTTTCTCTGTTTACTTACAAATTCCTCCTTTATTGAATCCCTTGCACTCGTCTGCTATTTCAGACGGAAAACGGGAGAGAAACCGGCAGACAAATGGGCTCGGCGAGAGAACGCTTCGCTGCTAATGTTGTTTCTGTTTGCATTGCGCTGCAAATTACAAAAGGACTCGGCATAAATTACTGCTCTCGCATTTGTAAAAGCACAAGCTCCGGGAGCAGCTCGAACAACAGTTTCATGACAGCTGACGTCCCTAATGGCTGATGATAATGTCCTTTTGCATTCATTACACGGCACATGACCCTCACGTGACGGCTGTGGAGTGGCCAAAGCGAGTCATGACGGAGAATCTCGCACTGCTTCTTCACTCACTGGGTTTCTAATGGATCTGCTCTCAATGTGTGTTTCGCTGCAGGAGGCCAAACAGCATGTGAAGAACACATTAATAAGCAGGAAAAGGGGATTAAGTTAATGTAAAATCGAAAGCGCTAAAGGCTGCTGCATTAATGCTCTTCAACATTAAGCTGATTGACTTCATCTCATTTGCATTATGAATCATGTTTGATCGCTTTCCTTCGAGTTATTTAAGCTGCATCATGAAATGAGCAGAAAAGCGGCTCGGTCGCATCCATGTCTTGTGAAATAAGGTGATTTCATCATTTACATTTAACAGCTGGAACGGGGTCGGTCAGTTTTTTAACCTCTTTAACTGAAGTAGGTCAAACTTCAGACACACGCAGAAGAACAGAAGAGCGAAAGCCGAGCAAACAGCTACGACTAATGTATGTGACTAATAAACTTTACATTCCTGTCCATTGGAAGCACAGGAGGACGATACGCTCATCTCTCACACGCCCACTGCTGCAGATCTGCCTAATGACATGCGGGTGACTGCCGCGTTCGACATATGACCAGCAGCAAGCCGGCCTTCCCCACAACAGACGACCACTGTCAGGGAAACAAGCGAACGCATGATCATTGTGTGTCCAGACTTCCATATTTCATCAGGCACTAAAAGCTGACAGACAACAAGCTCGTGTAGGAAAATGGGTTTTCTGTTACGCATGAGTGACATTTTAATAGCAAAAAACCCCACTGCTAGTATTAAAATACAGAGTAGTATTAGAGTATAACCGCTTGTAACAAGTGCCTACAGATGATAAAGTAATAGAGGGATCAATACTGCAGCCATTAATACCGGTAGGAGGAAATTAAAGCGAGGTGTTTATTTATTTACGTCATTGATTCGTAGGATACAGCTGGAGAGTCACATGTCGTCCCCCGCTGATTGAATCAAACCAGTCCAACCAGAGCTTCCTCCACTGTCCTGTCACTTGTACTTTGAGAGTCCCTCCAAGTTTTTCATCTCATTAACATGTCAGATTGCTGCTTTTCTTTTTTTACGGGCTGGAAAACATCATGAGCATTTGCAAACTGACGCTGACAGTCAGACTTTCATACAAAACCAATTCAAGGAAATAATCTAAAGCGGGACTTTCCAGATCATTGTTGTTGTACAGGATCAGGCTGGCTGAGAGACTTTCACAGTATTTAAGGCGCAGATTTCACAGATCTGACCCTGTAGAGGAAGCAACGGCGCAGAGTCACATCGAAGGCATGAAGCTTTTGTTTTCATGGGAGGAAAAACTTTGAAATTTGGACTCAGACGTTGGTTTCTCGTGGCTTTAAAATGACGAGAGTACGGAAGAACAAACAGCCACAACTGTTACCAACATCAAACTTGTGTTATCTTCCTGAATTCACTCGTGCGCGCTTAAAAACACGTCTAATCCTGCCTCTAGATCGAATACCCATAAAACTACAATATTCCACATTATTCAGCCCTCTTTAAACAATATTGTACACTTGTTGGAATCCAATCACCTGTTAGATTTAAACGACAAGCCTAATTTAATAAAAAATAACTGCAGAGGGGCTGCGGTTTAAAAACCAGCAGGTACACGTGCACACGGCACTGATACACATCAAACACAAACTGAACATTTTCTGTTATCTCAGATTCCTGACGCTCAGATTGTCCGGATAAAGGCTGGAATCTTAACAACGAGGGTTAAAAAACAGCAAACAAGTGGCTCCATCGTTTCCTTGTACCTGGAAACCAACTCAACTGGAACTGGTTGGCTGGAAATCTGACAAGATTTCTGGCAGCTTAAACGCAATCTGAGGCCTGAGGACACTGAAAAAGGAAAGGAAGCAGTTAGCAAGCAAAAAAAAAAAGAACTGTAAAAAAAACAGGAGAGGATTCTGGAATAACCGACAATGGAGGGGGGAGTCCGTCACATACCACGCATTGTCCCGATAATTCAATTTAAAGTCAGCAAGCCTGAAATTCTGAGTTGATTTCTCCAGAGAGCGACTTGCACAATGTCGATTATTATCATGCGGCTGCACACATGAACCCACTGTTCAGACGGCCGGCTCTGCGTACGCAAAGAACACACACTTCTGCTAAGAGTGACGAAGCATTAAGTTTGCCGGTTCGCACGGCTTTCAGCACTCTCATTCCAGCTGCTACGAGACGTCCGTGGCATCACAAAAGAGCCCGACAATAAACCGAAGCGAGTTCGTCCACATGCCTGAGTGTCACGGCTGGAGCACGGCAAAACATCTCACAGGAGGCCGAAGGAGGACTGAATGACAACAACGACAAAAAAACAACAACAACACACCAACATGCAGCCGGTATCTTACCCGTTCGTCAGAGTCTTTTCCTCTCCTGACATTTTCATCTGGCAAAAGTGAGTGAGTGTGAACGGCAGAGAAAGAGACACAAGTGGGAGAGGAAATGCAGAAGTGTGAGCCCAGAGGCCTCTCCAGCAGTGCAGTGTAATGGTCTGTGTCTCTGTCTGTAGCAGCAGAAGGGCAGAGAGAGGCAGAAAGAGAAGGGGAAGAATGAATGGAAGAGGAGGGAGGAGGAGGAGGAGGAGGAGGAGGAGGAGGAAGGACGGATGCAGCAGCAGCTCTTAATAAGATTGGGATGACTATCACACATGAGGAGAGAACAACACACACACACACAAACACACACCAACACTAAACCTATCCCACCTCTTCCGATCATCACCCTCATGCTACACACTGCAGTCTCTGCTCCCATTGGCCAACGCTGAATCAGGGGCGGGGCTAAAATGACCTCAGGATTCTTCTTTTTTTTTTTTTTTTAATGATTTAAATACATAAGCTGTGAAACTGCCCCAAAAGCACAGAAAAAGAAAAGAGGAAGGAAAAATGTCTGCTGTACAAAGTGAGGCTGCTGCAGCATGGTGAGGATCTCAGCTGGTCCGATGTGCTGCAGTGGCAGAACGCTGCAGCGAGTCCAGAAATAGAACACATAGATGCAGCACCAAGGAGCTGGAGATGCACGAGAAGTAATGAATTACGAGCGGGCACGGCGCCGCCAGGTTTTACCACCACAAGAACAAGCAGATGCACACTGTGGGCGAGCGAGAGGACAACCGTAAAGCATTTTAGGTTCACTCAGCTTCGACACGAGCTCCCCTGCAGCCTCGACAGTGTCAGAAAGCTGCACAACAAGTCCAATAAACTCAAGATGTTAAGCTGAATCAACTGGTGACAAACAACAGTTGCGGATAAACTTGTTTTTCTTTCACATTTTCGATGTATAAAGAGTTTTTTCGTCATCAAACAGCCTCATGAATAAACTCCGTCAGCACAAATGCTGATCTGTTTCTGGGGTTAAAACCGTTTTGACTATTATGAAACAACCATAACCTAATCTAACTTTTTATTAAATTAGAGACGCAGCAAGTTTCCAGCATGTCTGAGCCTCTGTGGAGTTTTAACTCTTCAACAATGCATCCTGGGAAGTTTTCTTACAGCTAGTTTTGCTTCTGATAAACTAAATTTAATGCATTGACTGAACTCATTATTTTAAATGTCTCAACTGAATTCATATTCACATTATGTCAACAAGAAAAGATGAGTTGATTTGACTCAGTTCCTTTATATTTTACAGTGTGCAGTTTGTAGAAGGCCGGCCAGAGGCGTATCTCCCATCAGCAGATAACATCAGCAGTAATTAGAAATGTGCGGTTCGTGACAACCAGATCGTTGTAACGGCACACAAGCATCGACACCGCGGTTAGCTAACGACAACAAAAAGGGTTACGCTCCATTTAGATTCATTAGTTTAGGAGTCCTGCTAACATGAGCGGCAACGTTCCTGCTACGACACGTCTGCCGTGCCGAATGAAAAATGTTCAGATGGTTCATTCTTTTGAGATTAAATGAGCTCTTATTCTAGTAAAGCAGGACGAGTTAACACAGAGGAGAAACGTGCCGATGTTGGCATTCTACTATTTAGCTGGGTTTCATGTCGTGGAAATGTTCAGAAAACTCTGGAGTCATAAAAATATCTTTAAGGGTCAATTTATGCTCTCTAAGTCTGTAAGGTTTTCCAAAGGTACGCTTGATGTGAAATGTAATCATTTTAGACCTAAATGCAGCCTGAAGGTCGTGACTGTAAAATGTGTCGACTGCATGTGAACCAGGAAAACAAACAGCAGCATAAAAACAACAGTGGTTAAGAAGAGAAGTTGTGCAAAAGGCTTCTCACCTTAATTCATCATTAACAGAGTTCTAACTGAAGCTGCCAGACTTTGAAGGTGTACATGCTTTCCATCAATCGAAAGCTCTATATTCTCCAGATATCTCGTGCTAATTCCGTCTACTGGGACAAACCCCAGGAATATTCACAATGACGCGGTGCTACAGATGCTATATTACATAAAATTAGCTTTTCAGAAACACTAACATGCACCTATTCTACTAAAAACAAGAACCGTGTGAACGCCAGTATCTGCTTTTAAAGTCCACGTCGGTCTACGGACAAGAACCCAAAAAGCATGAATTGGTCTTCTAACAAGAACGTGTTTCATTCCCCTCAGACCAGTAACTGCATTAGTGTTGCAGTTAGCATTTCTTTCCCAATCAGTCAATAGTTTGCACTACAATACAGTTCAAGCAAAGTCTTAAAAAGGCTTCACCGGTCCAACGAACAATCTAAAACTGAGAGATATTCAGGTTTACCACCACATGAGAAGCTAGAGTTTCTGCGTCCCGTTTGTATGGCAGCATCGACCAGGACAGTTAGTTTACGTTCATCCCATTAGACTTCTGTGTTGAAATCTGTCATAATTTGCACGCTAATTATTATGTCATGTCCAAAAACACGTTTTGTAAGGTTTCCGTTATGTTCACTTTTGTTATTTCCTGTTAAGTTACGTCACGTTCTGACCTGTTCTGTTACGCTCTGATCTGTTAACGTTACATTACGTTCTTTTCAGTTATTTTACTTTCTGATCTGCTATGTTACATTATTTCCTGTTGTTTTCTGTTATGTATTTTCTGTTATGTTACATTATGTTCTTTTGTATTATGTTCTGTTAGGTTACTATTTCCACGACGTTAAGTTGCGTTACGTTCTGATCTGATCTGTTCTGATATGTAACGTAACACTACATTACGATATTTTCAGGCTTATTTTCACATCTGTTATGCTACATTCTTTTCCGTTGTCTGTTATGTATTTTCTGTTTGGTTACATTATGTTATGTTCTGCTAGGCTACTATTTTCGTTATGTTAAGTTGCGCTACTTTACATTATGTTACTTTACGGCACGTTACGCTCTGATCTGTAACATAACACTACGTTACGATCTTTTCCGTTTTATTTTCAGTTCGTATTTTTGTTACATTAGGTTACATTATGTCACAATACATTATGTTCTTTTCTGTTACGTTCTGTTAGGTTATTTTTTTATTACGTTATGTCACTTTACATGATGTTACTTTACGTTACGTTACTTTATGTTGCACTCTGATACGTCAGGTAACGCTACATTACGATCTTTTCAGTCTTATTTTCACATCTGTTATGCTACATTCTTTTCCGTTGTCTGTTATGTATTTTCTATTTAGTTACATTATGTCACGTTACATTATGTTCTGTTCTGTTATGTTCTGCTATGCTACTATTTTCATTATGTTAAGGTGCGCTACTTTACATTATGTTACTTTACGGCACGTTACGCTCTGATCTGTAACGTAACGCTACATTACGATCTTTTCCGTTTTATTTTCAGTTCATATTTTTGTTACATTAGGTTACATTATGTCACGTTACTGTTACGTTCTGTTAAGTTATTTTTTTATTACGCTATGTCACTTCACATTATGTTACTTTATGCTACTTTACTTTATGTTGCACTCTGATACGTTAGGTAACGCTACATTACGATCTTTTTTATTTTATTTTCACATCTGTTATGTTACATTCTATTCTGTTGTCTGTTATGTATTTTCTGTTACATTGTGTTTGTTACATGATGTCACGTTACATTATGTTTTCTGTTGCGTTACAGTATTTTCTGCTACCTAATGGTTACTTTATTCGTTACGTTATTTTCTGCTCTGCTCTTTTGTTACAAGACATTTAGTTGTTTTATTTTTAGCTCTGTTATGTTACATTCTGTTTTTTGTTTTGTGTTTTGTGTTACTTTACATCACGCTCTGCTCTGTTCTGTTATGCTACGCTACGTCATGTTAGATTACGTTCTGTCATATTATCTGCTGTTACGAGTTCTTTTATGTTACCTGATGTCATGTTACGTTCTTTACTGTTATGCTCTGCTACGTTATGTCTGTCCTGCTCTGTTGCATTTTCAAAAGCGAACACGACCAGAACAATACAAATCCAAACTCTCCTGCTATTTTACACTGAAACATCTGGATCCTCCTCAGTGCTGCAGACGTCAGCATCACTTATTGCGCCCATCTCAGCCATAAATACCAGCGTTGTTCTCTGAAGCTGGAGTAAAACCCTGAACAGGACGCAGCCAGGCTGTATGGCACATTTACACACACTATTAGCAACACTGCTAACATCAGAAAAGCATAAAGATTGAACTCATGTGACCGTGAATAGCTGCAAATCACATCTGATATATTTTTCTCTCCCACAGTGACCCATAAAGATACAATCGCAAGAGCAAAGCGGCTCCGTACAGACACACGAGGGGGGAAATTCATCCAGCTTCTTTAAAGTAGAATGAAAAAAATAAAATAAAATCAGTTTGTTGCTGCGAGGAGGCCAGTGGGTCACGGGTTTAAGTGGGAGAAAATTTGATTTAATAGCTCAGAAATGTTGCAACTTGAAAACAACTCAGGTCTTTTAACTTTAATCTAATAATAATAAAATATCTAAAACTGTCCTGTACTAAATAACTTAATTCAAACACGACAGCTGAAAGTCAATATACACAATAAAAAAAGACTGACGGTGGATTATTGAACCTCAAACTGGTGCACAAACATGAATCACAATAATCAAATAAACTGGTGACGTCGGTGGTTTAAGTTGCTGTTGCACAATGATGCAAGTATTGCACCAGTTTTGTTGTGCAAAGGGGTTATATTTAAAAAATACATGCATTGTAGAGTGCATACTGTTAGCACAGCAGTGTGGAGGCTTATTTGGAGTTATTTGTTTGGTCACAGGCAAAAGGTTTAAGAACAGAGGATCATTATTGAATTTGTGCCATCAAGCAAAAGGTCTTTGTGCCGCAAATCAACTAAAATATTGCAGATTTCCTTTTAAATAAAACCACTGTTGCACAAAATGTAAACCAAAATATACTGTGGAGGGAGCTACAAGCCATTCTTATGCAAAAAAAACCCCCCAAAAACACTAATAACACTGTGGTTATTCCATTTAATGACCTGTTAACAGTCTAATCAGCTACTCAGTCATAATTTAAACGCAGAGAGCTGAGAGATGATGTTATTCTCAGGTTCACCCCGTCTGAATTATTGATATAATGAACAGCAGGAGAAGCTGCGTTTAGTCGGTAACCTTTTGACTTTTACTGCAGCATGTTGTTAATGTGAACTTCTCTCTGTTTGTAATCAGTTCACGAATGCAGGGCTTCAGAGTTATAACACAGAGAGTATATATGAGAAGCTTTAGATGTGTGATCCGTGTCCCTTCTCACCCGTTGGATGGATTTGCCGACTCCAGAGCATCTTTGTTGTCCGGCAGCTGTAACCTGAAACAGAGCAACAAAATCGAGGCTGTTTCAGAGAAAAGAAGCCGATCTCGAGGGACGAAAACCAGCCGAACGAGCAGCTATTGTTTATGGATCGTGAGAAACGTGGGCAGTAATGAACACTCCCAGGCAGCTGAATATTTTTTCTTTTTTTTGACGACCATGATTTGTTCATTTCTGCAGATATGAACTAAATTAAAACCACTCACTTGAAATCTGTGATGATGGGATCCAGGTCTGGGCTGTTTACGACCGACAACCTGAGATAAGAAACACGGTTCAGTCCGACATAAATGGATTCGAAGAGGTTCAGATGTGCTTTTTGCAGAGCTACTAGCACTGTGAGGAGCAGCGGCGGGTTTGCTGCTTTCTTAATGTTTCTGACTGTAAGAACAAACGGTGGTGAATGTGGACGTACCGGCTCGGGGAGTCCGGGCCATCGGGGATGTCTTGTGCCTGCACAGCATCCCTGTGAAGAGGTCGGAGGTCAACTTAGAGAGAACGTAAGAAAGAATCTCATGGTGGCGAGAAAAAAAAGGACGTTAGCAAGAAGACTGGAAGCCTGAGGACCTGAGGACTTAAGACTGTTTCAGATCTAGAACAAACTGATCTAGAACAAACTGCAGATATTAAACAAGATATCACACCAAAGTACAGAAGTTCAGACACTTTTATCATTTTCACAATAAACCTCAAGACGTACAAGTGTTCAGTGGCCTTTAGCTGCATTTAATGGTCTTAAGATTTCAGTATTTTGGACGTATTTTACTTCAGTCGCTGACATCACACAATTTTTTTTCTCGTTTTTATTATTATTATATATATATTTTTAGATTTTTATTTATTTCTATGTATATTTTATTTGAATCCTCTTTTTAATATTAATTTTATTTCTTTATTTTGTATTATTACTATTATTATCAGCACTACTATATTTCTTAGCATATTTTTTTATTAATAGCACTTTTTTTTTTTTTACATCTGTGCACACATTTTACACAACTCCTTGTCAGTTTTTTAAGAACTTGCCTGAAAAATGTTGACGTGAACCAAGAAACTGTGATCAACTCATTTGATTTCAATAAAAAGAGAGAAAAAAATGAAATAAACTGCTATTATATAATGTTCCTGTTTTGTCTTGTTTTCATGTTTTATGCTATTTTATGGAATTTTAAATAATTATTAAATTTTTCCTAATATATTATATTTATTTATTTATAATTATATAATCATAACAGCAGTAATTATAAACTTTTATATATTTTTTGTAGCAGGTATTTCAAAGTGCAGTCACAAGGTGCTTTAAAAAAACAACTATACAACGCATTAGAAAACACCAGTAAACATTTGTAAAAACAAACAAACAAACACAAAAACAGTGAAACCTGAAAAAGAGCAATAACAAAACATCAGGGACGGTAGATCAACCCAGTCTCACAGCAATTCGTGAAACAGTCACAAAATTTAATCTATTGTTTCGTGTCCTGGGACTTTGATTTGTTCAACTTTTTCGTGCACAAATTTCAAACCAATACATTTCAATTTGAATTATCTTTTGTATCTGGGACACATTTTCCCATCAGACAGCTCATATACTGGGATGTTTCTGTCGTTCTTTTGTTCCCACAGTCAGCATGAACCAGTTTTCCTGTTCTGGTCCGTCCACACTAATAACTACAGAGATCACTGTACAGATGTGTGGCCCACATGGACCAACGTTAGCATTCTGGAAACACCGGCGCTGCTATAAAGGCTGTATTCATTCCAATAGAAAAGACTAGAAATCTATTCTAGAAGACTAGAAAGTGATCCCAACCATATCGTTCATAGCTGTTGTTGTTTCTTTGCGATAAAATGTCAGTGTTTTACTGTGTTTAGGCTACATGCTCGTCGTTACTTGAATTTCTCTGTAAATGAAAACAACTCTGAGCAGAAGGACACGTGAAGGAAAACAGACCAGAACATGTCCTGTGATCCCAGCGATGGATAATCTGACTGTTGTAGCTGAGAGGTCAGCGATGGGGAACGTGTCTGTAGCTTTGTGAAGCTTTTAGCTAGCTCGTCGAGGCTAGCTACATTAGCTACTAGCCTGTCGGAAGGAAAGAACGACAAAAACATCCCAGTATATGAGCTGTCTGATGGGGAAACGTGTCCCGGACACGAAATTATAATAACAATAATAATAATTCCAATTGAAATGTATTGGATTGAAATTCATGCACGAAAAAGTTGAACAAATCAGGTCCCAGGACACGAAACAAGAGAGTAAATTTTGTGACTGTTTCACGAATTGCTGTGAGACTGGGTTGGATATATATATGGACCACATCCTGATGTTAGTGTTTTTTCCTCATATATCAGTTAGATGTGAAAAATCAACGATCGTCTAGCATTAGCGCCTTCGTCTCTTATTCATGAGGGATCCAGAAAAGCCTTGGTGTTACCGGGTTTTCATGCATTTTTTTTTTTAACTTAATCTAATCTCCATAATTATGAATGCTGTAGGATGTTATATGTAAATTAGTCGTTATCTTGATAATTAGCGATGGCAATAACTTTATTTGTGTAGCACCTTCTGAAAACAGAGTTACAAACTGTTTGACAGCAAAACACGGAAAATTAAAAAAAAAAAAAACAGAAATGAATAATAACAAATAAACAAGATGGTAAACAGGCACCATAATACAGTTTGTTTGTTTTTTTCACATACAGCACATTTCAGACGACAGCCACTGTGTCAAAGTGCTTTCTGATAACAGGTGTAAATACTGAGGTTTCTATAGTTTTAATTATGCTGTGATTTCACCTAAATAAGTTTAGGATTTAAACCCAACAAAAATGATATGAAACACTGCTTTCCCTGACTGTAACACACATAAAGGCTGAGTGTTTCTGATTTTTAAGAATCATCTCATCAATATAAAAATACACTGAAAGTCCTACAGTATTAAAAAGTACACAACTTAACCTCATGTAAATATTAAGGCTAATGTTACACAACATTAATTATAATCCTGTAGAGTCAGGGAGTGTTTTATACCATTTTTGTAGTGTTTTATTGCTTAATTTGTAAACTAATCAGGAAATTCACACCAAGTAATGTCTTAAGCTCAATATTTAAACGTGTTAGATTGACTCATAATGCTTCTTATTTTTTAAAACTGAAAACAGCTTTTGTTTTATATTTGCAGTCTATAAAACACTGACTTGACTTGATAAACTTTAGTACTTAAGATGTACTTCAGGGATACTTTCTGTTCACTTTCTCACACGTTTGCGCTGTAATCCTGATCGACCACATCATGAATGTTGTCTAACAGGCTGCTGACAAAACACTGGTCCTGAACACCAAACCAGACTTCTGGCTCTGATCCGTTCTGTGGGTTTATTTCTGGTGAAGCTGGAACACATCGTCCCGCACGCAGCAGCCTCAGCGGGATGACATGAAGACCAGATCCTCCAGACATGCACCGACAGAACCGGGACATGCACTGATTTCTGGAGGACTTTTTTTTCTTTCTTTCTTTCTTTCCTCTGCTCACCTTTTGCTGTCGTTTTTCTTCACGCTTTGCCTCCAGCTGGTGATAAAATTCATCCCACCGAGCAGCAGGTTCACTGAGCGGGCATTGGAGGGAGGCTCACGCCGGCGGAGAGCGGAGCTGACTCGGACACAGGTGAAGGCAGAGCCGCTGCTGCTGCTGCTGCTGCTGCGGAGCGTCTTCCTCCTCCGTGACGTGGAAAGGTGCTGCTTCACCTCCACGGTCACCTGTCTCTATTTACATGTGCAGGAATGCAGCCGCCGCTCCCAGGTCCTAAAGCCCTCCCAGCTACTGGCCACACGACTACACTGTAAAAAAAAAAAAGAAAAAAAAATAAAGAACTGATTTAGCTGTAATGTTTCTACAGGTTACTGCTATTTTATACAAGTTTCCTGTTTTGTTAAATTATAATATAACGTTTTAATTGCCCCTAGGGGACAAATAATGTTTTTTGAAATTTTTTTAATGTATTTATTGAATTACACAAAAAGTCACAATTTACAAAAACCAACCAACAAAAAAATAATCAAAAAGACATTCAATAATGTCCGCTTCACAAATCTGTATTTTTCTAAACGGCAATTTTTTATTTTACAACACTTGACAGCATATCTATAAATTAGCAAAAAAATCCATTTGTTTTACTGATATAATTATGTAGATTGAAAAATTATATATAAATCTTTAGAATCTTTTTTTCTTTTAGCTGTTGTAATAAATTTACAGATATCAAATAGAATCACAGAAATAATTACATGTTGACTATTTTGTTTTAAAGGCCAAAAAAGTGATGTCATGTCCAAATCAAAAATCTGTAAATGTATTGTTTTGGGTTTTTTTTAAATAATAAATGGTAGTTTGTTCTTTTACAACATTTGACAGTGTCTTTACGTGAATTTGTCAGAGCGTTACAGCTGTTTTTATCAGTGAATGGATGCATGTTTGAGTGTGTTACGTCCCTGGTCCAGGGGTCAGAGACACAACATGAATGACAGGTGGAGGAGAACCAGGTGTAGAAATAATTTAAATTTATTGCCACCAAAATTTGTCTTTTTACACAGTTTTAAGCCAAAAAGGCATTTACAATAAATAAGTAAATACTTAAATAAATACATAAATAAATATGTACATAAATAAATAAATAAATGAAATTAAAAATACTTTATCCCAGAAGGGAAATTCAATATTGTAAAAAGCTCACTTTTTTTTAATCAATATAACATATATATACAACAATAATCAGTCAGTCAGACTTGATGGCTGTTGGCAGGAATGAATTCCTGTATCTCTCTGTTCTACACTGAAACTGACGCAGCCTCCCACTAAACACACTCTGTTGATTCTTCCTTTTAAATAAGGCTGGACTAATACTACCAAACACAACAAACAAAACAAGCTAATAATCCCAAAACTGAACTAAACCCTGGAAGAACAGAAATAAACAAAAATACACTTGCTAACTTTAGATAAAGCAAAAACAGGAAAAAACAAAGGTTTTTTTTTCCATCTTTCCTTACGGTCGTGCTCTCCTCCAGAGCCTGCATGATGGCAGCCACCCGCCACCAGGTTCAAAAGCCCCAGCTGGGCAGTTACCACAAAGTTAATGAAGTAGACCAGAAACACCCAGGGCAGGTAGCTTGAAGAGCCACCAGCATTTGGGCAACACTCCCACAGTGTGTCCTGGAGAGGAACAGAACAAGATTTTGTTCATTCAGTGGCTGGCAGGTGTGAAATAAACTACCCATGGTAGGCAGCCATAGCATACAACCACTAATACCCTAAAGGTTCCTTGTTATTATCCTCAAGTATTATTCCATACATGACTGGTTTTGGATATTGTTGTTAGAGGATAACACATGCATAGAGGTTGTGAATATGCATGTGTAAGTGTGTACATACTTTGAGAATGCCGCTCCCAGTTGCCTCCAGTGCACTGGCCATCCCAAAGTGCCTGAAGTTGAAGCACTGATTTAGTCCATGATAAGGGTATTCAGGGCTGCATTGTGATTAACACAGAGGCAAACAAGACAGACATGTAGTTCTAGATTTTCTGCAGTGTAGACATCCTTCAGAAATGCATCTGATTCAGCGACTTCAGAATCAAAAGCACACTGTTTAACTACAAAAATGAAGTGTTAAACAGAACATCAGCTTAAGATTCTGCATAACGGTGACCATATTATAGAGTGGGTGAAGTCTGACATGTCCAGCCCGTTGCTTTTCTCAGGTGTGAGTATTTTCATCTGGATGTGGATTAAAGATTAAAGATGGATCACCAACACACCATCCACGACATTCAAAAACAGGCAGCAGTAGCTTTCTTTACCAATCAGTAAACTCTGTGTGTGTCTCAACAGCCTGTGAAGATGTACTGATTGTTCCTCTTGTTGCAAAAGTAGCTGGAGGTTACGTGTGTGCCTCACCGTGCTGTCAGGGTGGATACCAGGCCTCGCCATGGTGACAATGATGCAGCCCGATAAAATGAAGACCAAAAGTATTGGGTCAAACACGACGTGTGAGCTCACCGACTGGCAAAACAGACGGCACCTAAACACAAACACACACTCCGATTATAATAGCCGTAGTCACTTAAACATAAGGAGAAAACAAAGAGAATCAAAAACAATCTGTGGCATGAAATCTGTTTCAGTTCAACACATTCTCCTCACTGTGAAGTCGCTTTTTCAGTGCAATGTAAAGTTATGCGCAACAACGGCATCGGCTGAATGCTGTATGCAAAATCATTGTCAGTGGAGTTTAGTTTAACAATATGACAACAGCACATTCACACTTTTAACAATAAATATTCACTTTAAAATCATTTGAAATTTTCTTCACAAACTTTAATAAAATTAATCTGTCATCTGCAGTATCAGCAGAAAAAAAAGCATTTTGTTGTCTGTTCTAAAATCAGGGAAGTGAGTGTTCATGAAGCTCTGGGCTCATGAGTTTGACGAGTAAATGTAGATGTTTTCTTATTTGATCTGTTGTTCCAGCTATTTATGTGTCTTTCATCCTTTAGTCTGTCCCACAGAAAAGGGGCTGGCTGCCTTAAAAACAGTCCAACCTTCAACCCTGTAACTGTTTTTTGTTACGGGGTTGAAGATTTTACCTAAAAGTAGCCAGAACTCCAAATGAGCAGACTTTTTACAGTGTGTACCACCTGAGAAAACATCCAGCTCTCCAAGTACCACCACTATGACCAACCTGACCATACAGTAGTGAAGGCTTACCCTGTTGACTGTTCACAAAGGAGGCATGCTTACTCTGAATATGAGGATTATTTATTGATAGCCATTGCCTGCAACAGTCACACTGTACACAACAGCAGCATTATAACTCTATATAACATAACAAGGTGCAGCACCTCTCACACACACAGCAAGCCAGATCATTGGTCATCACTGTCACCGTCTTCACATGTGGGACCAAAAACACACACCTGTCTGAACATCATTAGGCTCAATACAGTCTTTCAGAAAGCGCGCGGCCTTAAAGCGCGATCACGGCCGATATGTGGTTGAGATGGCGGCGCGCATGGCCGCAGCGGCCCCTTCAGGAGACAGCGAGAGTGAAAGTTTTCAGTGTCTTGTCTATCCCAGACGTTCATTCTGCAAAACTTACAGCCGGGAGACTCTGCTGGGCGTCAGGACAGTGATCAAATAGCGGCGATGTGGACATACTGCACCAACACGGAGTCCGATCGGTGACGGCACTTGTCCGAGAGAGAAGGAAGCGCAAACGGTGCGAAC